GCTACACAGAGAAAAACTGTCTCGGAAAAAAAAAAAAAAGATTAGCTAAAGGCCTACAGCTTATATTTTAGCTTTGCTCATTTAAAAACTGTGCATGTGTAACTGTTTTCTGTATGCATGTGTGGGGTTAAGGTGCACACGGGTGCATGCAGAGGCCAGAAAACTTGTGTGAACGTACGTATGTGTGCATGTAAGAGGGGGCTAAGGTGCACACGGGTGCATGCAGAGGCCAGAGGGCAATATCAGGTATCTTCCTCTGCTGCTTTTCCACCTTGGATTTTGAGTCAGGGTCTCTCACTGTCAGAAGCTCACCGATTGGCTAGACAGGCTGAGTGGTGATCATCTGTGTCCCCCGCAAGCTGTAGCTGGCTTGGATTCACACCGCCATACTTGGACTCTCTGTGGGTGCTGGGGATCCAAGTCAAGTTCTTACGCTTGTACAGCAAGCACCTTATCAATCAAGCATTGCCCCAGCTCCAGGAGAATGTATTCTTAATGCTCATCTGAGGTCCTTCCTAGGGACTTAGGAGCCAACCTATAAACTCACTGCAAGCTGAAAGGGCATTTACTATACCAAATCTACTGAGCACTCTAGCTTATCCTGACCCGCTCTAAGTGTGCTCAGACCACTTGTGTAAGTCTATCTGAGCACAAGCACAGACTGACTGCAGCATCTAATGCTAGCCGGGGAAAGATAAAAATTCAAGGCACAATTCCTTCTGAGCATATTACCATTTCAAATCATCACAAAGTCAAAGGAGCCCAAGTCAAACCATTCTGAGTTGGAGGGATCGTCTATATTAAGTTTGCCTAGTGTTGAAAGACAGGGATAAATTTAGTGCCTTTTAACTTTTTTGTTTTAAAAGTTCTTAATGTCGGTAAGTACAAGGACTTGACATTATATGCTAAGAAACTGCAGTCTAAAATGCCAGTAAGATCTTGGTCTTCTTGCTTAGGTGACTGCGTTCGGCAACTGCTGACTGAAAACCCATACACCAGCGTAGGTGAGATCCTGATGAGGGCCAGGCTTTCTGAGCCATGATCCTGTCTACAGGTGTTAAGTGACTAACCCAGATCCCCAGCACAGAACAAAGGCAGGTGACAAGTTCCCAAATAGATTTCAACTGCAATTTGTTGCAGAGTCCTGAAACTGATTAAGGTCCCCTCCTCCCTCCAGGAAGGAGTCTGGTGGTATCAACGTAGCCACTTGACAGGTATTCCCTCCACATCCACTATCTGCAGGTACCATGTAATGATCTGGCCAAGCAGTAATTAGTAAGACAAGAGCTGGTGTCCCATTCCTGCATTCCTGTCTTTGAGCAGAATTCTATACTCACCTGTGCATCAAGTCTAAGTCAGTTCGAGTCTACCTTTCACAGAAGACAGTTGGTACACAGTGTCAAAACAATGTGACTTGGATCTAATTTTGCTCTGGTGTCCTTGGACCATCTCACCCACCAGCAATGTCATCTGGAAAGCGAAGCTACTTTGTGTTTAAGACAGGGGGCAGAAATAAAACAATCCAAACATGGCGATATAATTAGTCTTTATGTGTGCACTACCAACACTGCTGGAGAGAATGAGTGGCTAGTAATATGATATAGGGAGGGGTCTTTTGTTCAGTTAGGAACCTCTTTTTAGTCTTAGTTTTTAAAGTAACAGTGGTCAATATTCAATTTGAAGCACATGACTTCTTTGCCCATACAGAGGCACAAACCTCTGTATGAAGGAAATGGAATGTGCCTTTGTGTATTTGACATTTTAAGACAAAGGCCATATTTTTATTTAGAAAGTGTCCAACTGGAGGTGAAGGTACAAGGCACTACACTCCTGATGATACCCATTATAATTTGCTGTTGACACTAAGAGGTAAAGCCACCTGAGGCCACAGTCAGCGTGCAGGTTTCCTGCCTTACCCTTTGCTAAGCAGTGACAAGTCTGAGGTAACTGGTGCCCACATCAGGATCTCTCCAGTGCCCTGAAGCTGTGGCCCTGGCCCCGCTGAAGTCAAGTACATGAGACCGCGCACTGAGGCTATTATTTATTGTCCTGCTGCCTGAATGAATATGGGCAACTACAGCTTGCCACACGCACACTCGCCTGAGGTATCAGGTATGCTATTAAATGAACTTTGCCTCTTACTTTGTAAGAAAAATACTGCAAATGGGTGACTAGGAAACATGGCATTTTCAGGAATTTTCTAGAGCAAGCCGACTAGTTTTCCTTTCTGACTCTTCTTGCCCTCAACAGTCGGCTCGATGGCATCTGAGAAAGCAGAGTGTTCCGTCCTTGACACGGCTTGACAGCACAAAGAAACCTGGCACTTGGCAATGAATTATTAATGTGCACAAATATTGCAGCATGTGTGAGGTGGAGACCAGCAAGAGGTGAAGTGCTAGTTGCCATGACACCAGTCAGTTCAAGCTAAGGTTCACGATCGTCACCTCTGTCTCAAAGAGTCATTAGAAGAACATACAGGGCAAATCTGAGCCTCACACCTAAGTGACTTCGGGTCGGAACTCCAGCATGTGCTGCAGGTGCCATCTGAAAGGGGTGCCTCGGAAAGTGCACTGACCACCAAGCCTGTGTTAAGTCAGCTGGAGACACCAGACTCTAGACGGGCTCTTCAGGCCAGGGAGCTGCTTGGGCTCGTAGCTGATGCCCACAGTGGCTGGTAAGGTTTCCTAGGTCCTGACTTAAATTCAGACAACTGTACTCTGCTTTATCTTGTCCACATGTCTAAGAAAGAGGAAGAAACCTCCTGTTTCACCTGAAAAGCCACAGTTGGTCACAGTGCCAATAACTCTGATTTGAAATAAGGGGGGTCAGTGCCTTTACATTTGGAAAGGACTTAGGCC